TCTAATAGAAGTTAACAATAACGACTAATTTTTCAATTTTAATTCGATTTTAATCTGTCGCTAACAGCGATAGATTTTCTACGAATTTGCAACATGACTTTTTTTATTTTTCTAAAAAGAAAAATTAGTGTTATTCTATCAAATTTCGACACTAATTCTCTCTACTAATTGGATAACAAAGAAAGAGAGAATCCTAGGATGCTTCAAACTTGCCTTTCAACAGTAGCAAGATAGCTTTTTTACTTTGTTGATTAATAGCCGAAGCTGCCGTAAAATAAAACAAAACAGCAAAAGAAATTGAAGTATTAGTCCTAGTGTGATTGATTAAGTACAAACTGGCCCCTCTAGACGCTTAAGAATGTGGTACATGGTGAATTATGCCATATACAAACTCAATTAAAATCGTTATATTTATGAAAGGTCCATAACCTTTCATAAATATGCCCATGGAGTCCAACTGGATAGAAACCATCAATTTGACCGTTAGTTGACCAAGAAAAGTAAATTTTGACTCAATTGAAAGGGGTATAATGGTAACTTTTTTATTTAATCCCATAAAACAAATAAAATAACTAAAACAAAATAAAACTATTCCTCCCGTTCTTCACCCTATCCCACCCCCACTCACACCCACCCAAACCAAAAATTTGGGCCACCCACTACCACTGTCACGGTCACAACCACCACACATTTCCTAAATCTTAACAAAGCTTTCCTGTTGCAATTATCTCTGTTTGGGACATTGAGCAAAGATCGTGACAATCTTGGGTTAAGAATCTAAGATAATACCTAGATCGTGAAAATGCTAACCCCTCCTATAGAATTGCCAATGGAAACTTCATAGTTAAGATGCAGTTCCATCAAAAACCCGTTAGCGTTATACCCAAAGATCCCAGCCACCGTAACAACGGCATATGGAGGTGGCACCAGCCTGCGGTGGCGATCGCCATTGGATTTGACAATGAGAGAAGGTGGCACAAATTCCTTCGCCATTGGGTTCAACTTTGAAAACATTTCCTCTAAATCCTTCATCTCCCTCTTGAATCCTTCTTGTCCATCATCTCCACCATTTATAATATTCTATTTGCCCTCACTGTTAGGGTAAACTTCAGGGACTCGATTGCCGTTGATACTCTGCTACGGCATATGATGGTCGTTGGATTGTTGTTGGCTGGGAAACGGGATGGAGGCAGGTTAGGGGCCTAAAGAAGATCAATCTTTATTTTTTTATTTATTTAATGTTGTAATTATAAAGTTACCATTTTATCCCTTTCAGTTTGGTCAAAATTCGCTTTTCTTGGTCAACTAACGATCAAATGGATGGTTTCCATCCAGTTGGACTCCAAGTGCATATTTATGAAAGGTTATGGACCTTCCCTGGCACAAATTGAAAGTTTAGTCTACAAAAATTGAAAAAGTAAGGGTCCCCTGCGGCAATTTTCCCTAAATTATATTTTCTTTTTGCCGGGTTGCAAAGAATTATCTCCTGCATATATATGAGAATCACTCCTTTTCCAGGTAATGTAGATCAAATGAAACATTTGGTTCAAACTGAGGCAGGTGAGGTGAGGTGGGACATGAAGATTGAAGACAATTTACCTAGAAATAAACGAGGAATCTGATTCCATAACAATTGTATTTATATGGTTAACAACGTGTGTGTGTGCCCAACTTTTAATCTCAATCCAACCCTCATGCAACTTTTTTTCTCCACCTCTATATACTTTTGGTTATATATATATATAAAAAAGTGAAAGCTGCTGTATAAACAGTGTAACAGAGAGAGAGATTTGTGGGGTTGTGAAGTGGGCATGACCAAGAAATGGCTATTAAGATCTAGCTTGAATTTCCGTGCCAATATTCCAATGTTCTTCTATATATTTGAAGATATCTCGGGATCACTACAGAATACTTCCACTAATTACTCTCACATAGTGACTCAAGATTGAAGACAACCAACCGACAAATAATCAAATCTACATCATTATCTCTCCCCCACATCACAGAGAGAGAGAGAGAGAGAGCTTTATTATGTATCTAAGAATTGCTTTATTCGTTCGTTGGTAAGCAGCTTTGATCCTCGCAAAAGTTAGATTCTTTTCCTTCAAGGTGAGGAATTCCAGTACTGGTAATCAAGGGGGGGGCCCAGCCCCAGCCCCTTCTTCTCACTCTCGCAAGTTCAATATATGTGTCCCTATGCAGCATATTCAATTAACACACCAACTAAAACCCGCATTACAACTCTGGTTATATTACAACAATTACCTTCAAATATTTTCTAGCACTCATTTTCTCAGAAAAATGTAATAAAGACACTTCAATCCAAATCTTTTAGTTAACTTATCTAAAAGCTTATGGTATATAAACAAAAACTTGAATTTAATCTCAAGAAGACGAAGTGACATTCGATTTATTGTTATAGCACCGAATATTAAAAGTCAACCAATATTTTCCTTTATATGGTCAAGACAAACAATACCTTATCAGATCTTATTTCATTATTATTTATTAATTTTAAATGAAGAATCAGATATATAGTCAAATGTGAAGGTTTATATTCTTCTTACTTGTACTCACGCTTTTAAGTTAATAATGCTTATTCAATTTGAATCTGAAGTTGTCACACATACACGCTTTTAGTTAATTTACTTTGTTAGTGAAAGTTATTAACTTGAAGAATAAGTTTGACTCAAATTCAAAACTTTTATAAGTTTCAAAATGCATTTGAATTCGACTTATCTCACCATCAAAGGAATCGTAAAACTAATGAAAAGTTAACTTCTCATTATAAATTAAATATAAATGAGAACCAAACAGTACTCAAAGGAATACGAAATTATTGTGTTGTTTTCTAATCTAAAAGTCCAAAGAGTAAACTTATACTAACTTAATTTTAATTTGAGTATAATCTATCCCTTCAGTAAAAATTATCTTTCATATGCATCTAATACAATGAGTTAAAAGGCACTCTTAAGTGTTTCCATACCTTATTTTTAGACTCTGTAGACAAATATGTGATATTGTGTCGGAAGCAAGGCCAAATACATCATTGTCTAAGACGACTCATTTACACACGTAGATTTATACATGTTTTGGCGAACGAATTAGAAAATACTGAACAATAAGCGTTACTAGAAAAATGCTAAAATCTTTTTTAAGTTGTACTTAAAAGTTTGCAGAACCCTCATTTGAGCAAAATCTGTTCATTCAAGGGATTGTTGGGTCATCTTTGACTCTGATGCATGCAGTCTTTAAGTGATTATTGAGGTACAAAATTCAAGATTCTAGTCTCCAGTACGCTTTGGTTTCTGGGATAACTTTAATGTTTGGAAGGTATAATTGGGAACTTTCGAGTCTTTTCAGACACTTCTGTTAGCCTCTCCCTTTTCCCATAATTTTTTTTTAACATTCTACATATATTCTTGCAATAATTATCATCGTACAAGGATTTCACCGTCTCTATCATTTAGTACCATTCTGAGTAAAAAAGTTTTCTTGGGGAAGTAGCCATAACTGAACTCTAGGTAGATTTTCTGAAAATTATCAGGCATGGAAAAAAAAAAAGTGAACAGTATGGAATTCTTGAAGACGAAGAGCACATAACTTTATTGGGAATACATGCCCTCCAAATCTTAAGCATTTAGAGAACTTCAATATACCAATATGATTGTGCACTAAATCACATATAATTAACATCCAATGTTACAATCTTCTAAACTGGCATCAAGGAAAGAACGTGATTGTGAAGTCATTTGATTATTATGAAACCGACTAATATAATGGATAAGAGTCAACACCGAATCCCCGTGTGAACATAGTTGTCTTGGGTAAAAAAGAAGAAGATATAACCGAATTTTTTGGACAATATTAGAGATTGGCTACATTCCGCCCCTATTTGATGATAATTAAAATCAATTTTTTAGTAAATATTGATAAAAGTTGATGAAATGTGTGATTAAAATGTTGTGAAACCCATAAAATATGTGGTTAAAATTAATTGTTAATTTTGACTTAAATTAAAATTAAAATTTTAATTAATACCAAACAGTGGCTCAGTGTAAAACATTGAACAACTCACTTGAATTCCTTTTTACAATTTTTGAGCTTTAAGGAGGATTTCACGGCTGCATTACGCGAAAAAACTCATACTTTAATTCGTAACAAAGATCTTACAAAAGATCTTAAATTTATGCACTTTTCAATGAAGAAGATTATTCATTAGCAAAGTTAAATCCTTAATTAATTAACAATTACTTTTCAAACAGTTCAAATGAATCAATTTTCGCTAAGTATCTTAATTTTTCGAGACGATCAATATCTGAAGTCAACAACTTGGTAAGAAGTGCTTTCAAATTAGATTTCGGGCTATAAAATGATTAATCCGTAATTTATTAAATCAAGTTCAAAGCTACTTGCTTAATATATATGAAACTTTACCCCTCAGCTTCCGTTTCATAGTAAATTTAGGTCTGGAAGAAAATTGAAAATTATAGAATAGTTATCAATACAAAATCTAAGCATGCATTCTTTTGGTGTACTCGAAAAGAAGAAAACGTAATCGACCAGAATAAAAATTACTATATGAGAATGCTAAGCATGTTTGGTTTGGATTATTACTTGAAAATATTAATAAGTAAAATAGAAACTCAAATCAGCGTGAATGTTTCGAGCATTCTTGGAAAATATTAGGTCTTCATCTCTAGAATGTGTAAAAAGTTAAAGAAATCGAAACCCTCACTTGTCTAAACATTGTGATCAAGCATTACAGAGTAATATTACAAAGGAAAATAAATTAAAAACTTACCATTAATCTTAGGGTTTTCAATCTATCTTAGACTAAAAAAGTCTTCGATCATCCCTTAATTAAAATTAGATCCAACTTGGCCTTGATCCTAGCTAGCGATGGTGCTTCATGATCTTTGTTCCAAGAGTTTATTTCTGCACTTGAAGCTCTACGGATAAGTTTTGAAGCTTGTGCAGAACATAAACTATTGATTTTACTAAGGATTGCTTGTGGAAGAAGAGCTAAAATTAGAGAGATCTGTCCAGGCAGCACCAGTACTCCACTGATCATTTCCCATAAATTGCCTCGACGAATTCAATCCGGGATTTTCTTCCAGTTTCACCGATGCAAGTTGAGTCAACATTGAGCTAGAAAGTTTAGGATTCATAGTATGATCACCAACAAAGCTTGACTGCTCCATTCCGCCTTGAAATTGGTAAAGCCCGGCCGGAGATGTATCCAAACCACCCAAGAAAGGGAATTGTTGCTGCAACCGCCACTGCTGAACGCCACCACTTGATAGTAAGGAAGTCATTCCACCACCAATGTGACCACCAAGTAAGTTACTTTCTACTGGAAAATTCGTACCGTTCGTTCCCACAACCGGAGCTGCATTTCCAATGTAATTTAAGCTAATATCACCTGTACTGTAGTTATCAGTGAATTGACTCAAAGGAGACATAAATCGAAGAGGCGGAATATGAGGTGTGTGGCCTAATATATTAGTTGTAATTCCGTTGTTAGAGGAAAGAGAATCAGCAGAACTGGAGGTGGTAATTTGCCCATCCGTGTTGACAGGAGACTTTGTATTAGTACCTTTGCTTCTTTTGTTTCTCCTACAACCACCTCCAACTGGGACGCTTCTCAAAGCGCCGCCTCTAGTCCAGTACCTTCTGCAAGTCTTACAGAAGTGTCGAGGCTGCGAAAGATTGTAGTTGTTGAAATAGCAGAACTTTGTATTTGTTGATTCACATCGAGGGCATCTGAGGGCAGCCTCTGGCATCGGCATGCTGGCTAACCGAGCTCTTTCAACCATGCTGCCCAGCCGGATTGATCCTGAACCACTGGTGGCATGTGGTAGCTGCGGGGCTGGTGGTGAAGGCTGTGGTGCAGCTGGAAGTAAAGAATTTGTGGAACTATTTCCAATTTCATGGTTTTGTTGCTGAAAAAATCAGAAAAAGTCAGAAGATGAACATCTGGTATATTTAATAAAATTAAAGAGGTAAGAAAGCCGTCAAAAAAATAAAGAAACGAAAAGGGTTTGGAATATTTTTTCTTTAGAATTTAGCTTTTTTAGCAAAGAAGCCATTGAACCATATGAAATCAAAGAAAACCCTTACCTGCTGCCAGTTGGCTGAATCAAGATAAGCTGGAATTGAAGAAAAAACCATGGTTAATTCTTGATATTTCTTCTTTTGTAAAGGTTTTTGGAGAATCACATCAACTAGCTAGAGGGTTAACACACACAAAAATCACACAGAGAATGAGAGAATGAGAATAAGAAGCTAAATTAATAAAGGTAGGAGCTTTATGAGCACATATATTAATATACAGAGACATACCATTCATAATACTTGTTTGGTTTCATTCTGTGACTATTTTTGTTTTATTGCTTTTTAGGGTTTCGAGAGGGTCAGTTTCTTAATTACTTAACCTTTAAGCTTTTGGTTGAATGCAAAAAGTAGTGATTTCCATTGTCAATCGTGCTTCAACCATGCTACAAGTACAGAATTTTTTGATTGAAATTTTTTACTGACAACACATGACGTGACATCATTGTAAGATGGGAAAAAAATAAAAAGACAATCCACCTTCGAAAGAATAAGGTACATTGTTATTCCTCCACCATTTTCAAATTTATTCCACCAATTAAGGACACTTTTCCGCAATATAAATGTGAAATTCAAAAATATAAACTCAATAAAATAAGAGAAAATTAAAATTAAAAATATATAATATTATTCACTTCTAATAATTTATCCTAATGCAAGAGTTCCATCGATAAGTCTTTGATGGTTTTAATTATAAAAAAGAGAAGATTTATGTGATGACATGCTTCTCAAGAAATAACTTATCATTCTTCGAAAACATATTTTTCTATGTACTTAATGCATATTGTATTTGATTACTAACTTACAATGGCACGACTTTACGTACACGACTCTCTAAAAATCTATTATATATTAAAAAATAAATAAAACGATTTGTTAACCTCAATATAATTAAATTCTACATAGTCGAGTACTATGTAAAAACATGTGACTTTGAATATGTAATTAAAAGTGGTTCCCAGCTTAATTGCTCCAATTTTACACAAGCATCAAGCAAACTTAACTTAATTCTAATGGCACTTTTTAAGAAAATTATTAAATTAATATAAGAAATTTGATTCGTCCAGAGAAAAAGATGAGTGTTGGGATGCT